TGGCATTTTTCGTGCAAAGTGAGTGGTTATTACGGTCTGAATAATTTAATGGGCTTCCGCGTTGAGCTTATTCACACTGGGACCTCCTAGACTACAGTTTGTGATATTTTGCACAATAACTTCTCTGATGGCCGTTACTCCCAATAGCTTTGTGGTTATCTCAAAACTAGGTTAATTTACCAATAGTACACAACCCGCAGTTAGAACTGCTCCCCTACTACGCAATATAATACAAATTTTTAAAAAGGCACCATCCCCTCCGTGACTGGACTCGCTTTTTTACTTCTACACTTTTTTCTGATCAGTCCGAAGGCCCTGGGTTACAAGCGTATATTTCTCATTACGGACGATCCTGACCCCACTGGAACTAAGGCCCAACTGAAAGTAGGTTCCTATTTCTTCTCAGTAGCTCATGTAACATGTTTTTTTCTTGTTTACTCTTCTGTTTATGGGTTTATTTTGCTATCTTGTCCAGCGTTATTATTGCTCATCAAGGACGCCTTCTAGTTCTACATGCCTCTTCCTTCCCAACGCACAGTTCATAAATTGGGTGTGAGCTGTCCAACAAATTCTATTTTTTTTGGTTTAGTTCCAAAAGCGGATTCCTTCTAAAATCTTCGTTTTCGTCAGTTATCATGCGAACTTTTGGCCACGCTCCTGCGAACTAAGTGCTGTCCATGGTCTGGGAACCAGCGTGTATGTTGCACGTGTAGGCGGGCTATTTAACTTTTTCAGCCATTTCGCCTGCTTACATTTCGATCGTCTTCAGTTTACTTCAGTTTTTTAGGGAAATGCAGGTGTGAACTTGTGAATCCTTATTTGTTTGCATGCAATGTAGGCATGTCAAACATTTTAAAAATGTAACGTTAAAAAACGCAAGGGAGTATGTCATATCTGTATAGATAGACGAAATATCTCCAGTTTTAGCGACACAAGCTTATTTATAGGCACTTCTTAAGGTTTATTACAGTAGTTGGTTTAGATACAAGGATGCTGCAGAGAAACAAGTACGCTCTCAAGTGTCCCTGAGTGTATATTTGAATGTCAAGAAGCATAGACGATTAATCGGATGCGGGAAACATTTCATAAATAAATGTTACTGACGCATAGCGAGTAGTGTTATTGTAACCATTTGTTCGCGCAAGCGTCAAATTCACGGTGGTTGGGTGGTATTATAGTGCGCACTACTACAGTAGGTGCACATTCTCATGAAAAACGTTGGAAAACGTAATGAATGT